AGAAAAAATTTATAATAAAAAAATATATAAATAAAAAAAAAAAAAAAAAAAGAACATCACACCAGGGATACCTGGTTTAAAGGCTCTTGAGAATCCATGACACATACCATGCAAATGTTATTGGTATTTTCATTATTAGTATGGTTATTGTTATTATTATGAAAGACCCCTCTTAGAGGAAGTTACCCATAATTTGGTTTTGAGATAAAATAGAAATTTGCTGAGTAAAATGTACTACGAGAAACATGGCAGTCTCTCTCACACTTCTGTGTGGTGGAGTGGTTAGATTCCACCAACTATTCCTTCAACTCTAGAGCAATATTGTCCATCTCTATAATATTTTATAAAACTTTGAAAGTTACATTTGTATTGAAATAATTGAAAGAACTAGCGTTGGAAGGACAAAAGAAAAAGTAAGGTCACATATAACCTAAAATATGTAGTCTTTTTAATAGGGTATTTTGGTTCAAAGAGCTCAGGACCTAGACATTCTTAAAGCCAAAGAACATTCATTTCTGCATGTATGGTACCTAATAAACCGTCTAACACAAAATGGATGAATCTAAGTGTCCTACCTCGGGGTATTGTTTAGTTCTGTTGTTCATACTCACCTCCACTTTAATATCATTCTCTAACTCTGCATCAAGAAAATCCAATGTTACTGGCTCCTGAGATTTAGGGTTCTACATAGAAAACAATAATAGTTAAATACATACAACATTTAAAAATCGTGCTGTATATGGAATAATTCAATGAATATTTACTTATAAAATTCTATAAAAACTACTTAAGTAAGATACATTAAAAATTGTAGAAAGGTACCTCTTCTTTGTATAGTGTATGTGCATGTGTATGTGTATATATAACTAAATGTGTGTTTGTGTGTGTATATATAAAACTAAATGACCAGAGCTAGAGATTGTTTTAAGCATAGCAGACAAATTTAAAATGAACTACCAACTGAAGACTCATTTGAGTTCTATATTAAATATTATGGTTAGATCACAAATTCTATGGAAATATGACTTTTGAAGGAAATATGACTCAGAACTTTCTTTAATTAGCATGGGAAAGGGAGAAAACATAGTAATTTGGATAACTTGTTTGGCAATTAAACAAAGGTAGCATATATGTATACTTATTTTTTCTGCCATAGGGCTCATGCTCTGGCCAGAGAGAGACAGAGAGGGAAGTAAGAAGTCACCCCCTAAGGGGAATGGCCATGCTGCCATCTCTTTCCTTCATTCTCCTCTCAAGATTTTGGGCATATGTGCACACATGCCCGGCAAAATTTTTGAGTTGCTGGGTCTAGAACTCAAACTGTAGTCGTCTATGTGAGAGTCCAACCTTGACCACTATGCTACCCGCTGGCTCCCATATACACTTTTAAATTGTATTCCATAAACAAATAATTGTATAAAGTAAAATGTTTTAAAACTATGTTTGGGTTTGGTAATTAAAACAGACCTTATTAGACCTATTCTTCCCTCTGAAAAAATATAAGGGAAAGATGCAAGTTTGCTTCATATATTTGAATCTCAGAAAATTTATAGTATATTTTAATAATTCAGTTGAATCCATGATTTTATGAGATAATGTGTTGTTGAGTCATAGGACTTTAATAAACATTAGTAAAAGTCTAACTAAAATACTAACCTCTGTGTTCACTAAATATTATTTTCTGTTTTAACATCATCTACTACTTTTTCTTGCTGGTGTGTACTAATGAAGTTCATTGAAAAACAAAACATATTATTTATTTATTTATATAAGTATACCAAAGGATACTGTTAGTTCAGCAAGTGTACTGCACATGACATTATTTTAATATCTCAACCATAAGATGAAGACTCATCAAACTGTTGTATAAACAAACAAAATATATTGATTTCCTTGTAACACTATGATGTAACAGCATATTAAGATTTCAAAGTACACTAGAATAATAAAATCATGATGCTATACATAAATTTATTATTGATAATTTTTATGAACTATATTTTTAGTGTTTTAAAAAAGTTATTACCCAAACTTACTAATTTACTAGATACCTATAACAAATGCTGGATTTATGCAACAGTCACGAGACATTTTTTTGCTATAGGGAATGAACCTCCCAAGACAATAACAATGATTAAAAATGCATCAGAATTAAGCCTATCAAATTTAAATGCTGAGTGACATAGTATATCTATCATTTATGTGTTTAATAATTACTGCAAAAATGCCTTATCTCAAAGAGTAACTATATTTAAATAATAAAAGTTTTTGATTCCCATAATTTTAATGAATGAAAGAGGGGTATGTATGCTCATCAGACAGAAAAGAATGACGGGAGAAAGCACCTCTGTATGGTCAGGCCACAATCCCTTCTTAGCCACTTCTCTGTCCTGATTGGATTTTGGACAGGCATGTTCACACACCTGGCCTGTTTATAGCTGTCAGGGCTGGGACTGACACCATGACTGGCCACACAGAGTCCTGCTTCCTTAATCACTAGGCCATGGGGTTGGCCCAATGAATGAAAGTTCTTAAAGGCAAATTAGAAAGAAAAGAAATAACAACGGTGTTTGACACTTCAATTAAAAAAATACTCACTGCTTAATAATTCTATATAACTGGAGGTTGCATAATTTTCAAAATTAATATTACATTTTTCATAGGTGAAATTACTGACCATGCTTTGAATGGCATCTTATTTACTGTCTCAGAAACAAATATTCATTTGAAAAACAGCACATTTCATAAAGAGAAAATAAAAGCCAATATTTGAAATCCTTCTAATCCTTTTTAAAAAGTGAAACCTATAATGTCCCTTTAAAAAGAACACACTAAATTTATAATATTATTTAGAATTATTTAAAAATAAATCATCTATACAAAAACATCATATCTGAATTAAAATTTTACTGAACTCACTGTAAAATAAAGCCATAGAAATCAAAACGTAAACAGAAATAAGAATATTTATCTTACATGCAATGGATAATGCATAGCATGACCAGACCCACACAGCATGCATGGAGGAGGCATTATCAGGAAGAATTGGCATTATGAAGATCATGTCCCATTCAAACATATAAAGACACAGAGAAGAAAATGAAATCACAAAAGAAAAATGTCAGTGCATAATTTGTCATTGTTAAATGGCAACCTGGCTCCCCATTTTGTAAAAGACCCATCACAGGCATGGTGACTGAAAAATTTAAAAGCACAATCCAATAAAAAATACCAAGAGACACTAAAGACATGGAATCTAGTCCCTTGTGCCCCTTCCTTTTCTTTTTGGTATTTTGAATATCCAATATTTGCTATTTGTAAAATTTGAATATCAGTTAACATAACTACCCCATCATTTGTGGAAATAAAATATAATATGCAATTTTGTTAATGAATTTTATATCGAGAGACTTGTAACTGGCATTACTACAGACACTATAGTTTAAAAAATATTTTCCAAATTGAGAAGTCTTGTGTTGCTCAGTTTGCCATTTAGATTTTTCTTAGAATGAAAGCAAAAATAAAACAAACCATCTTTCAGGTTGTTTATTTTTTAATTATATAATCCTTACATGCAGTATTTAATGTTGCTGCCAAAATAAAATTCAATAAAATGCTCATGATTGCAGAAAGTATAATTTAAAATAATACATGAAAAAGAAACATGCAATGAGAGTCCAAAACAATGTAATGCATATATCAAGAAAGGCATAAACAAAAATTTAATCTCTATGGAAGCTGTAAAAGGTATGAAGACTTTCATATGCAACAACATGAAATTCAGACTGTCAAAGAATTCTAGAGCTCAAGCTGAAAAGGAACTACAGCGTCCGCTAGCCCAGTGACTACTTTAGAACAACCTAGAAGCTTTAAAAACTATTCAGAGGCTAGGTCCCATCCCTGGCCAAATTAAATCAGAATTTCCAAGAGATGGGACAGGGATCAATTATGTATACATATCATAAATATATATGTATATTATATATTACATATATAATATATATTCACATATATTATATATACACACATATTGCACATATAATATGTAATATATATATTTTAAAATTTCCTAGGTGAATATGCTATCTAAAGTAAAAGAGCAATAATTATATCAATTCTCCTGTTTTTCAGATAAAGAAACTGAAGTACTATAAGTTTTGATGAATTGCTTAAGGATACAGTTCGACTACCGGTGGAACCAAATCAGAACTCAGTACTACTAAATTGTAGTCTCATCTTTTCTTCTTACTATTTCTCCCTATAAGGTTGTAAAATAAATAATAGGATTAAATTTTTAAAATTATAAATAAGATTGAAATTCTGAATTTCTCTAACTAAGCTGTAGAAGTATCCTTTTATGCTGATTATGTTTAATGTACATATAGAAATAAGAATGCATATGATAATTTTTAAAGATTGTTGCAAACAGAGAAAACATTTTGCAATGAATTTCCTGGATAATAAACATTTAATTATTTGTTTATAATTTTGGATAGCTTTAATTAGACAAGGGGAAATTTCTCTAATAATTCAAAATTATACTTTTAGAAATTCAAAGACATTTTTGGTTAAAATTGGTGGTTTATGGAAACTGTCACATAGGGATTGTATTTTTTTATTTCCATTTAGAAATCAATTATAAAAGCAGACTGGCATTAATTTCACAATACTTAAAACCAAATTAAATTTTTCAAAGCCATCTCATTATAATTTTTCTGATTGTTAATATATTATATAATTCTCTTAGCAATCTTTAGTTAGCCAATGCATAACCCTCTACCATCATTAATAACATTTTTGCTACAGTTTATTGAGAAATGATGCTCATCTCTCTCTCATGCTCTGGAAGCTTGGAATCAGGAAAGGCAGCTTTAATCATAAGCTTTACAAACAGAAGCTTAATCTCAACTCTGATTTAGCAAATTTGAAAGCGCTGCTAGATCTACTTTCAGTCACAGTTACCTGAACATTGGGTCTCCTTTTTCTTAAATTAATTGTTGGTATACCTACACCAATAGGCTGAAGCAACAGAAAAATGGTAATTTATCATACTACATGATCAACATAGGTAAGGGTTCTAGTCTATCATCATTTTGGTCACATATAACCTTGATTGGAAGCAGGTCTAAGTGATAGAATTAAAAATATTTGGCAATTATCATAGAGTTCATACTATGTCAATAACTAACATAAAAGTTTAAAAATATGTTTAGTGAATTAAAATTGTTATGTTAGTAAAAATCATGTTTAAAGCAAAAATGACTGTTGATGTTTTCCTAGAAAAGTGGAAAAGGAAAAGATGGTCTGTAGCAGGTAACTTTTACACTGACTCGAAAAAGAAAGAAAAGTAGGAAATGTTAGAGTGTACATGATTCAAATATGCAACATATAAATATTATCAATGTTCTCCCAAATTTCTGTGTTAAACTCATCATGATCAAAGGTGATGGTATTAGAAGGTGGGGCCTTTGGAAGGTGATGAAATCAAAGAGCAGAAAGAACACTTTTGAACGAGATATTAAAAGCCTGAAGAGACCCCTTCCTCCATACTGAGGTAAGAGTGAGAGGGATGGCTGTCTATGATTATAAGGGCCTCACCAGGCAACAATCTTGTACTTCCCAGCCTCTAGAACTATGAAAAATAAGTCTTTATTGTTTTCAACAACTCTATTATATTTTGTTA